ACGATCGTCGTTGTCGGTCTCACGCCGCATCTCTATTGCTCTGCAATACAATGGAACGTGGCGAAACTTTTCTCAGCGTTTGCGTAAATGCAGGAGGGTGGAAAGGGCGGATTTAATTTCGCGCGGTGGTAGCGGCGTCGGCGGCGTCGGCAGCGTTTACCGACGGGACGCGACGCGACGCGTCGCGACGTCATACGCCGGGAGTATCAAGCCGAAAAGTTTTTATCGTCCCGCCGAACGCATTTGCTGCAAATTGATGGAAATGATGGCTCAAATTCGGAGCCTGGGTGAGTTTTTTACGCTTGCGCACGCATTATACACGCGCGCACATAAATATATTTATCGCACGTACACGTACACCTATATATATACGTGTATTGCTCGCGAAATACATTATCCGCGTAGAATGGACTGTTAACGCGGTTATATGACTCCATTTTGCGCGTTACACGAAACATCATCCCGCGTTACAAAGAGCCCGTAATGACGCGTCATGTATATGCGATCGTGCGGCGCGGTAAAAGCGTGAAAATAATAGGCAACGTTGTCCGCCCGGCCACGCGTACGTTGGTTTTCGGCCGTTGGACAGTTCGCGGACCCTCTTTGGTGAAGCGTACAAATCGCAAAAATGTTTCCCGTAATCCGCGCGCGCGACCCGCCCTGCGGCGCGATGCGGCTAAAATAAACAGCGCTGAAATCGCGTACGGCAATCTGCGAGAGAGGAGAGAGTGCGTATACGCGCGCGCGCGGGTCAGAGGGAGACATACCGCGAATTATCCATCCAGCCTGCCTGCCTGCCTGCCTGCCCTCCTCCTCGTTGTTGAATGGCCAATTCTCTACTTGGAAATTAAGCTATGGCCTAAACTAACCCAACGTACCGTCACTGGGATGCACGACGACCGGTGCATCCATCGGACGAGTATTTGCACGCCCGGTTTAACGCTTCCTATCGCTCCCTCGTTCCCCCTCCCTCCCCCTCCCCCCTCCCGACTCTGCCTGTTCTACGACGTGTAACGAAACACCATCGAAACACATGCATCGATCGATTTATATTGACTTATTTAAATTGACCTGTTCTTTGTCGCTACGCTGGATTGCACTAAAATTTTCTACACCAAAGAGTTTGGTAATAGCTATCAAATATTTATTGAAATAATGACAAATCAAATGTTGATTAATATGTCAATAATAATTTTATTTTTCTAAATATTTTTAGTTATGTTAACCAAATACTTAATTGTATCGAATAGCCTGTTCTTTCGTTAAAAAGAACATGTCTATTTTATTTCATTAAACATTTAGCAGCTATTACGAAACTTTTTTTTTGGCTTCGCCAAGCTTCGAACTAGGATGGTTCAGTTTTGAACATGATACAATTTTGAATAAGATCTAAATCCAATTTCGAGATTCAAGTTTCGTAACCCTAATCTCATTGTCAGGAGGGTACTAAAGAGTACACACACCACCAAACACATGCAAACAGGAAAAACCAAACTTGACCCTCGAAAAGTGGATTCAAATATTTTGTTCAGAATTGTATTGATTGAAATTGTATCATCTTACCCTATTATTTATAGACATCAATAAAGAGACAATAGTAAGTAATCCAATCCTTTAAGTTAAATAACATTTTGTTGTTTTTAACTTCTATATATATCAAAATGTCATTCCATTTCTGTGGTTAGTTTCAAAGTAAACATCGTCCATATTAACGTATGCACTTATAACGAATTCTGTTGCACTATTGCTCACTGGTGCATATTAAAACCGTTGTATACTGATTTAAACTAACAATAAAAGTGAAATGTAAATATTTCGAATTATAAAATATGTTTTACTTAACAGCACGATAAAATGTATTAAGTATTTCACGGTTTGACCTGTTTCTACAATATATTTATATTAAACACGCATCTTTAAAGCAATTTATGTACGATAGCTTTAATGCATCAATGCGCATCGAGTGTATCCAATCGAATTCATTATTAGTATATAATAAACTAAATTTGAATTAAATTTAACATATTTTCTTGAGTAAAATTGTTTAACTTTATTGTTTTAGTCAAATTAATAACATTATACATTGGCTACAAGCAATGGCGAGTGACGACCTATAGAAATTATTAAAAGTAATTCAAATTTGGTATAATTTGACATTAATTATGAATTTCACAATAGATTTAATTACACTAGTTTAGTCACAAAGAACAGATCATATTTTCGCATGATAAATGGACATATAGTGAGGACAATCATCTATCGATTTATTGAAAAAAATCAATCGATTCAGTTGATAAAGCATTAACCCTAAAGCTATTAAATGATACAGTAAGTTAATATGATATCCATACGTAAACTTTATGTATAAGAAAATGTATTAGGTGTTGGAATTAATTCGTAGCGTTTTACAAGTGATGGGAAGTACTTTCATTAATGTATTTTTTAATGCTCATGTGAAATAAATAACATTCTTTCATTAAAAACGCTACGAATTAATTCCAACACCTAATATAAGATCACTCTTTATTAATATTTATTAATATAACACAAGTTTCTCATATATTTTTAATAAAATTTATAATTTAGATTTCTCTAAACGCAAATAAAAAATCCACTTATTAATTTGAAAGGAAAGAAAATATAAGTACACTATCGAATTTAATCTTGAAATGATATGAAGTAGTCCAATTGTGTGCGTCTCCTCGTAACGCTTAAATAAAATAAATAATAATACAAAATAATAACCTTGATAACACAAAACTGCTTAAAAATTGAAATCTGCATACTTATCACGCTCTCTGTTATTGTCTCCTAATCAGCAGAGGGTCCAGAATGATACATAAAAAAAACGGCCAGAATTTTTAAAAGCTTGTCTCCGCTTATCCTAGCTTTTATGATAAATTGGTTTCCTACTTATAACCACTAAAGGCATAGCTTAGCGGTTAATGACTTCGCTAACTTGTATATAAAATTTACGTATCGATAGCATTCCAGGGTTAAAGCAATCACGTCTGTCACGTCTCGTTTCGCGAAAAACGAATTTAGAAATTTTTCTTCAAATGTAGAGAGCCGTTTGCTTTCTCTTTTGCAAAAGCCCTCAATTTTCAAGCCGCGTTAATCGCTCGACAAAGAGTTCTTCGCGTTATTGTACTTTCGAAACGACAGATCCCGGGACAATAAAATCCCACGATGAGCGCGAAGGAATAAATAAGCGAGCAGCAATTTGGATTTTCCATCGTCGCTCTCTCTAATTCGTTATTTACCGACTATCGTAAGAAAAAATTCGTGCACGGCCAGACGGTCTCATTTCGTTTTCCGCGGATGTTTCTCAACGGGATATGCCCGACGAAACGCGTCACGTTTGACATGTCGCGACGTTTGCAATAATGCGTCGCGCGTAATGCACCGTGCGGCCGCCGTCGCCGCCGCTACGGTCCATTGAAAATTGCATCGTAATCAATGCGTCGTAGATCCTGGAACGTGACGTTGCGCTCAGCCGGTGGCTTTGCACCCGATATACATATAACGCGCGAGCGCGCTTTCTTTTTGTTCTTTCTGTCCCTCTCGCGCCACACTGCGCCGCGCAGCATCTCCGGCTTTTTTTTTCCCTCTCTTTTTTTCTCGCTCTTTGTCGCCGGTTCGAAACACGCCTCGGAGATTAGGATAAATGCTCCTGGAGCAGCGACGGAGCGAGCAGTTTTACGCGCCTAGTAAATCGAACGATAAATTGATCGCTTGCCATCGTAAAGCTCCTCTCACACGCGCGCCACGCCGACGAAATGAAAATGCATCGGTTTTTCTGCGAGTCTCTGCGAGATACCGCATGGTTAATGGTAGATTTGTTCAAGTTGCTTGAAACATGATATAAAGGAAGATGTAACATTGGATATAATGGCAATGACGATACTGGAAACAATCAATCAAATGGCCTCAAATGGCCTCTTTTACTTTACTTTTGCCACGGGAATGTTACACCTTCCTTTTTATGTCAGCTTAAAATGCGAATCATCCATGGGCGTAGCCGAGAGGGGGTAAGGGAATCATGCCCCTCCCCCCCTTCCTCGAATCATAAAGATATCTTTTATCTATTGAGTTTATGACTCACGAATTGTTATGATATATGAATTCTATTACCACTTTTACTGATAATTTTCATCATTTTGATTTCGCTCCTCTTTCACTCTTTTGTACATTATTTTACTTGTTCTCGCTGTATTGTCTTCCTTTTTCCTCTTTTGGGGACAGGTACCATTTATTTAAAGAAGAAGAACTTAAATAATTACAAAGAAATTATACATTTATGACTATTCTTAATAATTAATTTATAAGAAATTAATTTTGAAAAAGAAGGAATTTGAGGTGAAGATTGTAGAAAGATTTTCTGAGAATCTAAGACTAGTATTATAAATTTAAAGTTTTCCAGTTCGAAGAATCAATTTACAATTTTAAGAGAAAAATGAAGTAAATTAGTAAATTAAATATGTGTGATTTTGTGATAGAATTTGTTAGTAATTAATTTAAAATACACCCATCTTTGATTATCCCCCTGACATTTAAATCTCAAATCTAATTTAGTCCCCCTCTATCCTGGTTACGCCCTTGTTGAAATTTTTAAAAATTTTTGCACTTAAAACAAGATAAACGAGTTTGATAAGTCAGTGACTTTTTCACTTCTTTTTTTTAATCAAAATTCGATTTATTTTTGAATAGTCTTCTTTTAAAAAGTCACTGACTTATCAAACTGCTCTATTTGAGCGTTGAAGAAAGAAAGCGAAGATGCTGAGTGCAAAAATTGCAACGCGAACAGATCTAGCGAGTACTTTTAGTCCTGCTCCTCTCGAGAGAGAGAAAATTTGAATAGCACCAACGAGCAAATATTTTTCTACTCGAACAAACGTTTCTCGAACAGGTGAAACGCGATAAGGAACTATTAAATTGTACAGGCAACGTTTCATATAGAAGCAACAGAAATAAAAAACAATTGTTTTTTTTTTCAACAGGAACGAAGGCATTCCACAACGTGTGAAGCTTTAACAGCGGGCGAAAAATTACGAAGAAAAGTGTCGTTCGTCGAACTTAAACGAGATTCGTACAAAGTTTTCGTTGCCATTTCCGCGCTCGTTAATAAATGAGAAAAGTGTACTCGGTTCGCGATAATAAGGTAATCGCGATGAATCGCGTTGTGCTGTGAACAGTGTCTGGAAAGGAGATCGATCTAGGAACAGCCACTGTCGTCAAATGGAGTTTCTTCACGCGGATGCGTTCGAGCCCACGAAATGGTGAAATGATCGTGTACTTAGTGTATCGTGGACGCTGCAGCGATTTCTAAGAAGCAATTGTCCAAGACTAAGATGTACCCCGCGCCGGCGAGACATCCCGCCGCTCCCGTAAGTATATTCGCATCATTATTTTTCTGTTGTAGCGAAGTAAAAAAATTAACATCCGTGGCATCTGTGATATGAGAATTATAGCATTACAAAATTTGAAGTATGTATTTAACGGAAAAAACGCAGAACGAATAATGCTGAAATTTCGTTGTCACTTAATTTAAAGCGAATTACATTTTAACCAACTTTCAACTTAACGTGCAGCCAAGTTAGTAAATTGACGGAAACATTTTCTATTCTGCGTTCGGCATTTTCCCAGGGTACTACCGTATATTTCTTCGCTTACGCCGGTATTTCTCGACATTTTTGCTTAGCGTTATCCATTATAGCGCACGTCAAAGGGTAATATAGTGTAATTACCGCTCCGCGCGAGGGAAGCGAAAGAGCACGTGGGAGTCAAGTCGACCGCTCTCGCACTTCGCGTTGCTAATTCGAAGAATGTTTGATTGTTCCCCGTGCGCGTCTCTACGCCACAACCTCCGCTCGTGCCACTCTTTTTACCGTCATAATTTCACGCGTCGCACAGGCTCAAAGTCCCATACGATGAAACGAGACCACCAGCGAATCTGCTGACACACGAATGTAAGAGAAAGAGAGAGGGGAGGGGAGGGGAGGGGGGGAAGCAGAGGCGACCATTAGAAATTACGAGGATTATTTATAGAGCCCGCAAGTCAACGTACAACAATTGCCGTTCATAGAACCGACCAATGGGCGATATGTGGGCACCACTCGTTTGCTTATTGACGCTGATGTGGCGCCGCTCTGCTCAAGGGGCACAAAGTGGCTCGATCGTTTCTTCGACAAGTATACTCGAAGCGCACCGACGGACATACGAAGCGGTGGCGATAACGGTGCCGTAATACTTCTCTTAATGGCCGATAATTATTGCGCTGACTAATAATACAACTAATGATACAACATAATTGGTTTAAGGAAAATCAGAAAAAGTTGAGCAAACGCTACGAATGATAAGCGATAATTTTTCCGCGCGTATTTTCGAGATAGGATGACGTCACACTTTTTTTTTACTCGCGCAAAAAATGACTAATAATTATTACGGTAATTAGAACGTAATTAATTCAAGAACAGTTGCAAAAATTTAGATATATAATTTTGTTTAGACAATAACTTCTTTCTTTACGAATATTATCTAGTTCATTTGCAAGTTTATTTATTAATTCTAATTTATGTATAAATTGCAAAATTCAACATATATATATTGAAATTTTATAACATTGAAGATATTTATTTTTGCGCACTAAAATTTCAAAGCGTTGACTCTTACGTGTCTTTAATAACTCTACTTATTATTGTTTTATATTAAGAGTTTCTTTATTATTTATTTGAATTTATACTCTTGAGATACATGGCGGATCGTAAAGTATACGAGACGGGTGATAATTATCGCGATTTATCATTAAACGTAATTAATCCAAGAGAACGAAGTTGGACACTGTTACGAAAATCGTTATTTAACAGGAAACTGTTCGTGACGCATTGCGTGTTGCTGAAAAAATGTAAACTAGTCTTACATTACGACAAGTACTTATAATGTCTTTTGCTTCCGTCATTGGCGCGATTCGAACGACTGTCAGGGTATCATTAGCGATTTTTTAATGGAAATGAATAGAAATTAGTCTTTTTTACGCTGTAATACAAATTTCGTGTGATAATGCAAAGAAAGCAATAACATAACTACTGTTAATAACTCACGGAAATAAGGATTTTGCTGAAGTGTTAAAAAATTTAGTTAGATATAGATCTGAAAATAATTTTGTTCGGACCATCAAAATAATTTTGTAAGACGCTTAAACTGCTAACTAAAATGTTAAAACTTTTTGCAGTATTGTTATTAACGTTTAAACGTTTTGCATAATTATTTTGATGGTCTTACAAAATTATCTTCAGATCTGTATCTGTAATAGCTAAATTTTTAAATACTTAAGTAGAACTATTCTTTCCGTGCGGACGCATAATCGAGTGTAATCATCGTGGCACGCGATCGCCTTTTTACGTATGCTTTTCATGGAGCAGTTATTTACTCTTTGGTTGGAAGAGATGTGACTGATAAGCTCAAATAAAGATTCGTATTAATGTTCTACACGGAAGGAACAGTTTTACTGAAGTGTTTATTTAGCTATAATAGAGATCTGAAAATAATCTTGTTGAATTATTAAAATAATTATGTAAGATGCTAAAGCTGGGATTGTTAGAATATCAAAATTTTTTGCAACATTGCTTATTATGCTTGAATTTTCTACTAATTATTTTGATGGTCCAACAAAATTCTTTTCAGATCGATCTGTATCTGTTAAATTTTTAGATCTTTTTGCAAATAATAAATTTCGTTCTTCTGTGTACAAACATGACTTGGCTGAAAACAATTTTATCATTGAGAAAAATTGTCAATGTCACTTAAATTTGTAAACTTATCAACGTGAAGGGTATCTTTAATTAATATAGGCCTTTATATTCCTGAATTTATATTGCACGTGAAAATCTAATGTACGTAACGTATACTTTTATATTTTCATATGTGATATTTTTCGAGAATAAGGATCCATGGAGTGACACATGACCATATGAAATTATTTTCAGATCTAACTAAATTTTTTACCACTTCAGTGTCTTGGATCCTTCATTGTAATCGATGAGTTTTGGATTCGATTTCGATCTTTTCTACATATATTTTAATTTTATACAAAGTGAATTAGAAAGTAACTTGGTGACATGCTTTATATGAGAGCTATCGATTCTTAATTTAATCTTAGATTTAATTCCGATCCTTATTTCACATATATCTTGATCTTCGATCTCACTTTATCTACATTCTGAAGGATTGATGTAGAGAATTTTGAAAATCGTGAAGGAGTATGAGGTGAAATAGTTATCCCGTATCGAAAATCCATATTTTGTACATATTTCTATCTTATAAAATTTATACATTACATGTATAAAACCTTCATTATAAGTTACGTTTCCATTTGTATAAATATGATATGTAAATATAATACAAGATATGTTGAATATGCACAGATATATGTAAAAAATATAAATTATTCGAGTATAAAATTTAATAATCCTATACGGAAAGGATTGTTTTACTGAAGTATCTCTCTTTTCTTTCTCTCTCTCTCTCTCTCTCTCTCAAAAATTTATCTTTATTTAGACACAGATCTGAAAATAATTTTGAGTCATCAGAATAATAATGTCGCGCTAAAACTTTTTGTAACATTAATCGTCATGATATTCCCACGTAATTAATCAAATTTTTAGATATTTTAGAGAAATTATTCTTTCCGTGAATGATGATCCGATTTTTTATTAAATATTTAATAAAGAAATATTTTCTGAAGCGCGTATATTTCTCTGGTTCGATTATGTACCACTTATTTTTACATTTAAAGTCAGTCACGTATTTCGCGTGACGGTTGATCATCAGTATAACAGAAAAGCTAGATGTTAGGACGAATGAGCCATTCTCCTTGCTTGCCAACCAAATAAACGAATGCACGCTGGCGAGCGTCACGCTCGTAATTCTGTAACTCGATCCTTCGCGAGGAGGATAATAAAAGGCGAAATAGTTATTCGCGAGAGTCGTCCGTTGTTTTAAGACGCAATGTCTAGAAAACCGTGAAAAGCGAGAAAGTTGGAAAACACCGACGAGAAAAATCGGAGAAGAGTGTCGGAGATATAAAGACCGGAGAATATAGTCTTCGCAATTTCCTATCGCGATGAATAGAAAAAAGGTGCGAAATTGCTCATTTGATAATATTTATCGCATATTTCGATAACAATTACATAATGAATTATAATAACACAAAAATAATGCGGTTTTCTCATGTATATCTAATAATTTTACTTTTTCGTTATCCATTCAATTTTTATCCGACAAGAATAAATTTTGATCTCGCAGGGGAACAGCCGTCTCCGAGCAAAGAATCATTTTCTTATAACTCAATCAAACTGTGACGTTTTTGTATACGCTCTTAAATAAAAGAAAATATATGCAACGCGTTTTACGTTTTACAATCGTGTCAGCTGTCACTCGTGCGATCATATTCGAAGTTTCTCGTCGTTGTTTTCTTTAAAATTAAAAATAAAAAGATTGACGGTAGTAGATCGTAGTTAATAGCAATGGCGTAACTAGGTGAACGTCCTCTTTTCTCCCTCTCTCTCTCTCTCTCTCTCTCTCCTCATTTCTCTGTCCCCTGCTCACGTCTTTGATTAATAGTTATCTCTCGTGTCGCGGACGTGCTTTAGAAGTTAAGCGGGAACAAAAGTGCGGCGAACGAGCGCTCGCACAGCAGCAGCAGCAGCAGCAGCAGCAGCGTCTCTGCCGCGGCGATATAATTTGCGCAAATGTAGGAAGTAATATCGCGGGGACAACAAGAGTCTCGCGACGCGCTCTTTGCAAAATGCGCCTGGCTGAGCGCGCGAGCACGAGAGCGATGCGAGCTACACCGAGAGCGGGACAAAGGGACGCCGCTTTGTTTCTCCATCCCTTTCTTCTCTCTTTCCTTTCTCTCCACTCTCCTCTCGGCCCTATCCGCCTTCCAGCCGACCCGTTCCTCGCGTTGCCTTCCCGCGCCCTTTCGTGCCGGTTCGCCGTGTCGTTTCGTGCTCCAGATTCCGCGGATTCTACGCGCCTCGCCCTCTCATAGAGAGATTGCCTGCACTGGATTTTATATCAAAAATCTCGCCGTTTATTGCTTTATTGCCTCTTTCGTGTAAAAAGAGAACAAGAATATAACATTTTCAACTCGTAAAATTACGCGTTTGTGGTTTATGATCATTATATGCTATACATGAAACTAAAACCTTTGTACAATTCTGTTGATATATATGTACAAGTGCAGATTATGTAACATTAGAATATTAAGAACTATTTATTTATTTATGCTTTTGAGAAAAATAAGAGCTAAATGGTAGTTGATATATTATCGAGATATATAATGTCGAATCTTAACTTGAGTTAGTGAGAATTGCTCATGAATTCC